TATCCTGGGTACTATCAATCAAAGCAGATGGCTAGTTTGGCCACCTTAGTGCTCATCAGACCTTAATAAAAGGAGAATAAAGTATTGCGATTATTGTTAGTTTTGATAATAGCATCTGTAATTGGTCGCGACTGACCATACTATGTCGAAACAGATTAAATGTACAGCTTGGCATTTCAGTTGAATTTGGGGATACTTGAGACTAGCGTCATCCAGGACAATCCGAAAAAGTGGCATTTCTCTGAGTAGATTAGACAAATTCATCTGTACAAGCTATTTGTGTTTGCAAAGGGGTCGCAATCACTTAACTGGCGACTGTTTAAGACTGACAATATTACCCCTTCTTTTTGTCCGTACCTATAGAGTTCACGTCAAGCACCTATTTCGTGCATGGGCCCTTACGTAACGTCCGTCGCTTAATGTTCCTTCTTTTTATCATTAGATACAAAGAGGATTTTATTTAAAAAATGTCTCTAATTAATTACATTAGTCCTAATTTTATGTATATTGTTGTAGATTTATGTTGTGATAGCGATTCACTAAAAGACAATAAATATGCTACATCACGATAAGTAGGCGGTACAGAGCTCATTCGAGTCCAACCATCAAGGGGTAGCAAGTAAGTCATAGTTACAGCTACAAAATAGTACATTCTACACACTTGTTGCTTCTCGGTACGATCAGAAAGAACTGGGGTTGAAGTCTTCCGCATGCTGGAGGCGCTTGTCCATAACTTTCTTGAACAGATAGCTATACTCAGCGTCTTTGTGAAACGAATCCCACAGCTTTGGAACCTAATCAAATAGTATTTCAAGCTTGCCAAGGAGAAGCAGCAGAATACCACGCATTGCATGGGCTTGGGCCAAGTCCTTTTTCGAGGCCGACCGCTTAGTGCCAGGGACAAGGGCAGAGAATCGCTGCGACGTGAGCAGACCACAAGTCTTTCTTCAGTTAAGACCTTCTTTAAATTAATATTTCCCTTGCTTCTCCGGCCCATCGAAACTACCGTTGTCGCCAACACGTTCTTCACCGCTTGTCCAGCTCCGTTCTCACCAGCGTACGTATGCACACCCTGCCGTGCTTACGTATAAGTAGCAATCTTTGGCCATATGCCTGTCGAGTGCGCGGCACTCGTGCGTGAATATCTTGACGCATGCTAGCAAAAGATGGCTTTGTTTTTTTGCGACATCAGCCAGCCAGTGCCGCCCCGTTTACCGATGTGTGACGTTGCCCGCTTGGAGCCTGGGGCAACTTAAGCATTTCGGATCCCTCCAGAAAGGAGATCTGTGTATGCTGCCGCCACGGGCAGGCGAAGTGGATGGGGTACTGGGGAGGCCGCAGACCGCTGCTTCTTACAAAATACTCAGTTACATAGAGACGTCAAGAATGTGTGCTAAGCACTCCAAGATAGCCTGAATGGCAAGATCATACACGAGTATGTGCACGGAGGTATCGCGTACATGCTATGAGAACTGAAAAATATTTCGTTCTGACCGCCTACTGAGCTACCTGACAAAGTATGCCATTTCTATTGCTGAATGGAAATCTTCGTAGAAGTCAAATTGGGCATGTGATCAAGTCATCGATAACATGCCCATGAAGTGCACGCGAACGTATGTTGCCTGCTACTGAATTTCATGGAATATCCTGGGCGCGTATTCCGGCTCTGTTGTTCCATCTGTCCTTTCTCAGAAAAAGCGATTTTCATAAAAAGATTTTCAAGATTTTCCACCGTGACGACAATATTCAATGTTCACTGACCCAATTTTAACTGTTATTTAACTATTTATCTTCAGCTGATTTCAAAGATAGCATACGAATTCCGCGGATTTCACTAAACACTAATCAATGCAGATATAAGCTACGGAGATATACAAAGCCACTGCTATTTAGCGATGCGTTCAATTTTCAATCGAAACGTTTAAAACTCAGATTAAAAGCCATCTTTAATTACGTTCCTATGTTTCTCTAATTTGCAATACGTTTCGTTTTTTTCTGTTTTATTTAGCTGCGATGACACATGACCGTATTGTTGTTCCTTGAAGACCATAAAACTACGGAAATCCATCAAAGTTTGGCGAAAACATTAGATAAGGAGGCTTTAAGCAAAACAATAAGTGGTGTGAAACGTTTCAAGAATGAAGATTGAAGTGTTGAAGATCAGCGAAGAAGTAACCAGATATCGGGACCCGAAGGATAATAATGCATTGCTGCAATCAAGGAGACTTTTCGCGAAAGCAGAGATTGGGGTCTAAGGCCTCTATTGGCACACACAGGCATTTCACATGTAACGTGTTATAGAATTGTAGCCCAAACACTGAGAATGCGATGACTGAGCAGAAGACGCATTGCTATGAATTGACTTTAGATTAATTGAAGATACTGGTGCCGTATTTTTACGGCACAGGTAATTTGCGGACGTTCATCAAGTTCTTGACATACGGTTTCCGTAAACAAGGTATGGTTCAGTCTCTACTGCCAACCAAAGAAAATCCACATAAGTAAATAGCGCAGCCCTAGAGAAAATTGAATTCGGTGGCAATATCCAGTAGGTTAATAGGTAAGGTGACGCTAGTACTTGCGATGAACTTCAGGGGCACTTGCATCTACTATGAGATCGCAGAGGATGAAATACTCGCTGATGGTGTGCTCGCAGAATATGAAATAATGAATATAGCGCGCTTTCTCGAACTCCTCAAGAAACTCATGGACCGTTGACATGGCAATCAAAAGCAAGCAGTCTGGTAACCTGCTGACAGCGCCAGACCTCATCGCCATGCCTCAGTTACTTCCTAGATTGAGCAGACAGATATCCAACGTTGGCTTCGACCCATTCGTTCCCCCAATCTAAATCTATATGATTAAGGGGCTTTCCATTCTCTAAAAAGGGCAACCGGAGGGCAAACGTATTTTACTGTCGATTCATTTCGAGAAGTTATAAATAAAGAAATTGCATAAGGAACCGTGGGTGGTAGGTCTAATTTATTTAAAATAACGTTACAAGATTGTTTGTCTACGTGTTAAACAGTAGGAATATACATCAATATCCCTGATAAAGATCATATTGTAACGTTGTCCGTTACCGAAGAGCACCTCTTTTCGCACAAGCAGCATTTACCCAGCAAGCATGACTCCACACTCGTACTAGTTTAGATGAAAACAATTTTGGGAGTACAAGTTTCCGTCAATGACGAAAATTACCCGTACAGGAATACCTACTAAGTTTTTTTTAATTGCTTTCATTGAAAGAATGTTCTATTAATGGTGAAAAAGTGGTGAATGATTTTACACCGTTATCATTATATATCTTCTTCTAATTTATAGTATACTTTCTCGTTTAGATTTTATCATACATTTGTTTAAGTATTTATCTACTTTCCATCGGCGACGAGAAAAATCAACTATTATCAGGCTCAATATCGTTGTTGTTTTTATTAGTCACATACTGTTCTTCTTTAGGTTTAGTGAACCTTATCGCTGGTTTTTGTTTGAGCTCTTATTCTGCCATGTTAAAAGCAACTGTTTGAAGCGAAACATTTGAATGCTACTAACATCACCTCCGAGTAAAGTAAGGCTGGAAACATATAAAAATTAGGTAAATATGCAGTCTATCTCAAGATACTCATTGCGTATATAACATATCTAGTACAAGACGCCTTGTTTTGATTTCTTGTGACTTGAATTCAATATATTTGCTCGAAAATTACCGAAAGCATTTTTCCATAGAAGTCTATGAAGAAATGTCTGAGAGAGTGGGTCGCCAATCAATAAGTTCGATCATGGCGAACCTTATGGGTCGATTAAATATGTTGCAGTGGTCCTCATGCTGAGTTTTTCTGTGTTTTGAAACAGTAAACTATGGTTTGTGGGTCGCCCTTTACACACACGAATTATGAAAGCAAGTATATACATATAAAAAAAAAGTATAGAGAGAAAGTACATCGTTAAAATTGAATCTGAGTGTACACGCCCAAATTGCAAACGCAGAGATCTTGGCTGTGCACAATTTTACGGCGTGGTTTAGGGTATACTGGTATATGGAAGAGTTGGTTTTTTTTGTTTACGGTTAAGTAAATTGGCCGTCGCTTCTTAAGAAGAAAGTTTCATGAAATACTATACGACGCCTCTAGGAAACAGCGCAAATGTTGCGGTTTTTTTACCGATAAATATATATATCTAATACGGATACGATATATATATATATAATATATATATATATATTCGTTGAAAGTAACTATTTACCTGGATATTAAGGCTAGATTTTAATAAAACATAAATTGTGTAGATATGTATGTTGAAGACTTACTGAGTGATTACAAGACGAACTTCTAGAAACCCACAATTCTCACTTATTGCATTTAAGAACTTACAAACACAAAAGCTTGGCCATGATCGTTATTGCATTGGCTGTCGAAATTCCCTTCGTCAGAAGTAACATCCCCGGATCGGTGAAGCCCAAACGTATTCGAGACTCGTAGCTGATCAGATTTACCTAACTGACCCATGTTTTTCGGTAAACAAACACTCACATATAATATGCAAAGGTGTACGGCTCATAATTAGGGAATGCATAAATAGGGAATTGTTCAAATGCAAGATGTTTTATGTGATACCGCAGCTAGTATATAGATATCTCAGGATAATATAGCAGCATTTTCGGACCGCGATACCCGAGATGTCTGGTTCCATAGATAGAATACGTATTTGCGGTATATGCTAATAATCATTAAGTGTATTAAGATTTGATGTATCACTATTCGGGGATTCTATCAAAAAGATCGTCAAGGCTTTTCATGGGGTCGTCTACATAGGTTGCATGCATTTATGTATTTACGGCCTCTCAAATGAATCTAAGCAAGGGCTTTTCTTCGACCTGCTCTGATACCGTGTGAAAAAGCTTCATTGTAGGCACTAGTAACATAAAGGTAAACCGTGTGTCCTAGGTTATCTAAATACCTATTGTTTAACTAGTGGTGCGAAGATAATACTGACTGACTTACCGACTATGCAGGACACGTCGACCATTGGGTAGGGAATTCGCGAGTGTTCTCCGCAGGGGTATATTCGTGTAGCTCTCGTCCAAGGAATCAGCCAGCCGCCGACAAGGGCGGCCAGGGCGACCCCGACTGATGACAAAAGCCCAGGTCTCATCTAGCTGACGCGTAAGGTGATGCTGACCCTGTTCGAGCACTTTCAAACTTGTCGCCGCCTGTTTTCTGAGCTGCAACGGATTTGAATACGATAACAATATTCGTGGCACTAAATGATGGTGCGTGTGACACGAGTGGCAGTTGCCCGCGCTGGCTCTCTTCCGGGACGCGTTTAATAGCTATTGCAATAGTGCGCGCAATTGTCAACGCACTAAATGTCGTTAATGCAGTTCGAATTTTTGTAGCCTTTTTGGTGGCTCCACCTTGGAGGCGGCGATAGAGGAGGATCACAGGCCAAGCTCATCTTCGTCATCAGCACGGCATCACAACAAAATCATGGGGCAAAGGCTGCATATACACCACGCTACGCACCGACCCCAACACGAACTGGTACAAAGGAGCAAAAACGGGAACTAACGCGCGCATAAACATAAAAACACTTTACGCATAGTCTAGTAATCTCAACTGATTTACACTTAATAAACGGACTATTCTTTTTCTGATTTAACGTACTTCGTACTTATGAGCTTCGCTGCTAAGAGCGCCACTTGAATATGTAACTTTACGATAATGTTTTTCAGTTTTGTCTTCACTAGCAGTCATCCAGCTTTCTTTACCAAGTATCTCTTACCTACTTTTCAGTTAATTTTACCGTCGCGCAGTTCAAAAGAACTACTTCAACGAAGTTTGTTGGCTTGACCGCGCGCTGGGACGGAAAAAGCCGTTGAAACTTAGTAGTTAACTAAGTGCGCCTAGGAACTTTAGAAAATATTCTAATATTTCCGTAATTCATGAACCGCACTGTTAAGGTAAGTCTGCTTTTATTGTACTTCCAATCACGACCGGTCACGGTACCGCCATGTCCTACGAAGTCCTTCACTATTGCTACTACGTACCAACTAAAGCCGTATTATGCGTCCCCGTGTCTCGAGACTTTCGCTTAAGTTCCTCAGTAAAGGCCTTTGACTCTTTCCACTTTCTCTCAACCAATTGACTAATGACGGAAGCCGAACGGGTCCGATGCCAAGGACCGCGATCTCTCCTAGAGGGCGCTACATTCAGCCTACCCCAGTCGCCGGCTGATGATCCGCAGACAGGCGCACCTCCACCAAGCGACGGCAGTACGATCGGCTGGCAACTGAACCCTTCTCCCTTACGCGTGAAGCAACTCGACCAGCGACAGACCAATGCTTTTACCCATCATCATCGATGTCGTCTAGGAGACCGTCGCTCTGAGCCAGCTGATATCCTGCACTTAAATAGTTTGCGATAGCCGATTCTTTAGCTGTATCTGGCTTCAGTATGAAGGGGGATAAGGAAATATCGCCCTAGAAAATAAGGGGAACACCTGTATTTGTCGAATGTCCCCTGATTCCAGTGTGATTCCTGCTGCTGGCTTTATTCCTAAGAATATTCTCTGATGACAGATTTGTTAATTATGGCAAGAGCAAGGTGTGCTGATTTAAAGCGGCGCGAAGTAGTAAAAAACGGCAGAAAGTAGGTGTAGTACGTTGTTAATGCTAGACACCTTCCATACCACGGTTACAGCCAAAGTCATAGAAATTATGCTTTTAGAATTCGGTCTTCAAGGACGCACCTCAGTAGCTGATTGAAATGATGATCAGATCACGATCAGAGACAACTTGCTGACGTACTTCATGTTAAAGAGGAGCGAGAGTATGCGGTAACATATTGGGAGTAAAACACAGGCTATGCAAAGAAATAACATGGACAACAGCAGTCGTGTTGGGTGTTATGCGCTACGAAATTTAATCGACAATCCGTGACGTTCTACTCTTAAGACCGTGCAATGCTTCTTGTACGTTATTGTGCAATGATTTTTCGCTATATATAAGCGGCAGCAACAACAATAGTCAATAGAAACTGGCGAAATCAGGAGGGATGAGAAGCTAAGAACGATGCGTATTGAAAGGGCATGTAAACGAAGCGATACGCGCTTGCCGCCTATTCGGCAGCGACGTTCCACCGAAGGTTGTTGTTCAGAAAAGACAGCAGCTTCCTGCACTAGGTAAAAAGGCTTTGCCAATATCTGTTCCTCTTTCTGTTCCTTTACCACCATCCTAAATGGCTGACCTCTGAACGCGATAATTCACGAGTGCGGGAACGCCCCAAACGATGAGAAAGCTAGAACGAATCACACTTTTAGTTTGGCCGTTGTAGGAAAAACTGGTCCTTCTTCTTTCTACAAAAGGATTGGCGAACGCTTAAGGGGAAAACTGTATGAAGTGTTTGTCTTTTCCTCTCCGAGCGTGAAACATATGTGTTGCTTGTTTCTGTGCAAGTATGTGAATCCATTTAGATTTCTATATAAGAGAATACCTGTATGTATGCGTCTGTGTATAGATTAAAGCAATCTTCGTTTTTGTCTGAACAGCCGTGATCCGGGCACGAATCCACAGGTATCTCCCAAGTATTTGAGATCCTAAGTTAGATGTGGCACGCTAACTAACTTCTCACTCATCACTAAGTCTGATCAAATGTCGAACATATTCACCAACCTTGTCGACTTATTTTCAAGTTCCCATGAAAGTTATGAGTGGAGATTTTTTTTTTTAGGCAGTTCGTAAGTTTATTTCACAATGTATTAATTATAATGTTTCAGGCCTCAACGTATTAACAGGTCCATTGTTTTAATATCATATAGACCACTTATATACAAAATCCTGATAATACCTAAGCTAAATTGTTTTTAAGCTTTTTTTTCTTTTCTTTTAGCCGAGATTATGCTAAAAATTACGTGAAGGGTCCATTAAAAATTGTTGTATAATTTTACGATGCGAACTTTTGTCCGTGAATACGTGGAACGATATGAAACCATTAGTTAAGTGACATCACTTCGTAATCCACCGCAAGGTCAGTGTTGCAGATGGCTTAACCCGATTACCGACCCTCGTTTCGAAAAGCAAACATTCGTACGAAAACAGCTGTTTGTGAAGTTACAAACAGACAATTAGCCGCTTATAACAGCCGAAAACATTAACATTTTTTTTTTAATCAGCTAATTATAACAGGTGTTCCTGTCACGGGCATTGCATCCATAGGTTGTTGGGGGCACGTTTGCAGTAAAGCGAATATGTAACCCTCTGCAAAAGGCATATCCAGCATTCGTATAGCATCGAGATCGTACTAGTGATCAACGGTGTGCTTCTATAGAAAAAAAAAAACGGTGTAGCTAGTTATTTGCATTTGCAATCAAACTAATGGTATACAGGGCAATACACATGCTGAATAGAGAATGATAATCGTTTTGTTATTATTGGGCTGCTGTACATCCATGCAAGCGAATAACAGCGGTTGTACACACCGTGTGGTCTTACTTCTTAACCCTTGCCTTTGAAACATATAGTTACCAACATGTTTTTTTTTTTTTTGCCTGGTTCCTGAATTAGATCACAGGGCTAGCTCAGTTGCGCTAAAGAACTTCATGTGTATACGCGTATGCACATTTTGTTTTTTAAGCCGTTTAATGAACGTCATGAGTCTATGCATACTATTTCAGTAGAGCTGGACTGATGATTCATGCTAGTGCTTCTTCTAAATATATTGTACTCTCTCACATAAATCTTAAGGGGATAACCGGCGATTCCGCTTGCGTTACTTCATATATTGATGCTCATGTGCTTTTGTCGTGATAGCTAGCTGCCATGATAACTTTCAGCTTAATATTTTGACTGAAACCAGATCAAATCTTTTATACGACGATTAAACTGCGCAATTGCAACGCGCCTCAAGGGTTTAGGACACAATGTTAGTTGCAAGTTCTACTGCGTCTTACAAGTAAAGTATTGCTTTTTGTAAGAGCCACTCTTTAAGGCGTGTCGACTAGCCACCATGTGCCCTTTTAATTTGCTTGCTCCTGATTATTACCACATCGACCACAGAAGTACTCGATCACTTCTAATTACTTCCTGGTCTAAAGGACATGTTTCTATAACATGGTGATCCTCGGCCGAGTCGGAAAATTTGCACTACCATAAGAAAATATCACCGCGATGGCTAAATATGACCATCGGACATAAAAAGTTAATGCTTTTCTTAGATTCGTTGGAAGAGCGGCTAGATAGTACACTTAAAGGATAACTCGCTTTTTCTATGTATACTTTTTCTAAAAAAGCTATGAAGAACGCATGCTAAATAGTAGTAGTAATTTCGTGTCTCGTTATTATACAGCCACGACGGCAGATACACATGCGATCCATAGGACACCTGAAATTTACGATTTTTTTTTCTCAAATTCACACTACGTTAAAACCCGTAAAGCAGGAGTTTCTCAATTGTAGAAACTACAGTAAGAATATTTTTGTTTACAACCAATATAACAGCCGATAACAGATAAATAAATCAAGTCAGCGTGATATAAATCCAAATATCATCAACGTCATTTTGTAACACTGAATATATGCTTTGCTGAATTATGTGTGCTTCGGTTTAACATCTATAACTATGCTAGTTGGTCACACGGTACACAACCAATTCGTAGAGTCGTATTATTAAAGTCGAATTATTTCTAGTACCGATAATCCTTTATTTCAATTTAATAAACAGTGGCTGTATTATGTGTTATATTCACAGATATCTCTTGTGACTTGCACGAGTTTAGGCCTCATCAAATTGGCGAAACGAAACATTTCCTTTTCAATGTCATCCCTTATGGCAAGCATGCAGCAGTCGCAACGATTGCCTATCACTTCAACAACATCGTGCCGGAGTTGTAGTTTTTGATGAAGCAATATAAATACGTTCTAGGCTATGACGAACTACGCTGGCTCATCTTGTGGCTACATAGAAAAGAGCCTATGCAACGGACGTACATTCACCCCCTCGTCATATCTGAAAGAGAGGGATTGTAGTTCTATAAATAAAAGGCATACCACAATTTTGGAACGAGCCAACTTGCTGTTAGATACATCAAACGATTAAACGTATTAGGCCATTACCCTAAGTTAGCCCTGCACTACGTACGTCTGAGAGTATCGAGGA